GCAGCCACCCCTAACAACTTTGTTCCATCTGTAAGCCACGAGAAACGTGACATTATTTTCCTGCTCGCTGTCTGTCTACAGCCTGAGGTGGGCTACTTCTACTACGGTACGCACCAGAGTCAGTTCTAACCGCAAAGTCTCGTCGGCTATTCGTCATAGTAGTAGTAACAGTAGTAGTAGTCATCGTCGTCGTAGGCGTCGTCGTCCTTGTCGTCGTTGTCATCGTTGTCGTCGTCGTTGTAAGAGCTAATGGAAGGCCACGAAGTGTTGGAAACACGCTGCAAATATGTATCTCGTTTATATTCGCCACTCATGAAAAATCTTTTCTCTCATCATCAGCTTCGCCTATTTTTATTCATCCAAACAGAGAGAAAAAGAGAGAGAGAGAGAGAGAGAAAGAGAGAGAAAGAGAGAGAGAGAGAGAGAGAGAGAGAGAGAGAGAGAGAGTGGGATGAGGACTAAATTTTAACGACACTTGTGCTAAATTTTTTAAGTAAATTTCCTTTTACATTTTTCTTTTATCTTTTCTTCCTTATATGTATATATATATATATATATATATATATATATATATATAATATTAATTAATTTAATGATTTCGTTAACGGTTGATACCCTTGTGACGATTTGCATTCTATAAAATTAGATTATAGTTTAATAACCTTGAAAGGCTTAGAGATTATCAAAATCCAGATTATAAAGGATCACGTCGAATATGGATATATTAAATAATTAAAGATAAAATTTATATTACATACGAATATTAATAGAAAATATTCCAATGGGAATGACCTGTCAAATAGAACTTAGAATAAACTTATTCGGTTCGTTGCAATCAAATAAATTTCTTTTTTTATTAAAGTCGATAAAAAATCTAGCCTTTTATTTGGATTCGCTGGTACCTACCTGTCGGACTAAATTAACTGGCTATTTTCTGCTGATTTCACTATTGTTAGCTCACTTGATAGAATGATAAAAATAGCGTGTAGAGTAGAAGAAAAAATCGTTATCCTCTCTCTCTCTTTCTCTCTCTTTCTCTCTCTCTCTCTCTCCTTCTTTCTTTCTCTTTCCGCTTGTGAGTATATGCCTCTCTTTTTCGTCGTGACCTTCCAAAGACGAGTCCGTTGCTCGGTTAGTAGAAAAATCAAAGTAAAAAGAAAATTCTCACTCGGTCATAAATATATATTAGTACAGTGTAAAAGATAGAAAAGTGGAAGATATAAACCGTGAATGGATGAAGGAGGGAGAGAGGAGGGGTGGGGAGGGGAGGGGAAGGGGGAAGAGGATTTTGGCGAACACGTTTATCACGAGCGAATCACGTTATCCATGGAAAATGAACATTTATGACCGAGCGCAACTGTTAATGTCGTACAACGCGTCTTTATGATAAAACTGTTCTCGAGTCAGGTTGAGATAAGCCATACGAGAGAACGAGGAATGCGTTCATAAATTTTTGACCAAGTTCAATTATTCTTGCGCTTCGAGATATTAACTGCGAGCATCGAACTCGTGCTCACTCTTTCTTTTCTTTCCTTATTTTTTTTTCTGCAAAATTTTTTTTCCTCCTCCTTTTCTTTTCGTTTACTTTTTTTTTTTTTTTTTTTTGCTTTTTTTTTGCTTTTCGTTTCTTTCCCTTCATCTTCTTCTTCTTCTTCTTCCTCCCACTATCATCCTATTCCCCAGTCTATCCTAACCTGCCCGTTCCAATGTGCAATAACGAGCACATTTTAACGCAATTACTTTCTTCTTAAACAATTCATTGCATTTTATATTGCGCGTAATAACAAACGAACGTTTCAATTAATTGCATTAAAATGTGCTTCTAACGTACATGTAAATAATTACGTAGATTCGTTAATATTTAAATAATACCTTTAGACATATAAACATTAATTGGCATCTGTTATTCTCCCACTGGAAAAAAAATATCTTATTTTATTAAGCCGATTTACTTACCAATATCTGAATGCTCGTCGAGGAGATCAATATCAATATGGGGAAGAGGTAAATGATTCGAATGAAGTGACGTCAATGATCTCTACTCTGATCATTTTTTCTTTTCTCTCTTGTTTTTTTTTTTCTATTTAAATAACAAATAATAAAATAGATCGATCACGATCGATCGATCAATCGAGATCATTGACGTTAACTTCGTTCGATCGATTTTGGTTCATTTTACTACTTTGTCCGATCAACGATTGTCGTCAATTTGACGACGTTAATGGATTAATAATTAGGATGATATCGTGATGACGATGAGTGTTACATAAAAATATAAAAGAGCACTTTTCTCTTGCGAAAATTCACTTCTACATTAATAGGATATATAAATAAATATATATATATATATATATATATATATATGTGTATGTATACATATATATATATGTATACACATATATATGTATATGTAAATATATCATAAGTTTTTAATCAAAGGACCGCTCAAGACGTGTGATGATAACCATACAACACAATAACGAGTAATAATAAAATTGACGATGATACGAGCGAATAAACAAACGTAGCACGACTCCTACTGGGAAACGTAATGGCGATCATTTTCAACAAACGATTCGATCTATATGAGAATATAAGTACGTGTGTGCTTGTGGAAATGGATTAAGTGTCAACGATATAAGTACTCAGTCAAAAACATATTAAGTGTTTCCTGATTAAATATATATATATATATACATATATATATATATTTATATATATGTATATGTATATATAATATATATGTCTATGTTGGATGATGCATACACGTGTGCGAGATAATTAAACTCAATACGAACGATAATTCTATCATCTCGTTGCTACATCGAGCTTTTTCTTATAAATAATGAAAACAGGAAGTTAAGAAATATTTAATTTAATACTATTAATACGACTCGTAAAAAGAACAAATAAAAAAGTTGACCAAGAAAAAAAAAAGAAAAAGAAGAGACGAATTTAAATCGAATTAACGCTCGATATCTCGATGTTACAACTCGATGTGAGATACCTTCTACATACTTATTCAACTGTCGAATACATTAAAAACGTTTCGATAACGAGATAATAAAATACTAGCAGATGGTATATAGATATATATATATATATATATATATATATCTTTGTGTGTATGCGTGTGTACGTGTGTTTGTGTTTATACATACGTATCAAGAGTATATACAATATATACTCGTTATATAAATCCGATCGAAGCGTGCAATTAGGCGTGCAAGAAAACAGCGTGCAGGGTTTGAAGTATAGTATATAGTAGTAGAAATAGAAGAAATGGAAGAAGCACAAAAGAAAGAATAAACGAGTAGACGCAGTATAGTGAGTTCGAGGATTGGAAAGGATGAAATATAGTACAAAAGAGACAGACAGATAGATAGATAGATAGATAGATAGATAGATAGATAGATAGATAGATAGATAGATAGATAGAACGAGAAAATCGGAAGATAATAGAACGAATATTATTTGTAGCACGTCGAATACGATGACGCACGTCGTCCAAATATATATATATGTACATATATATAAGATAAAAAGATAAAAGAGGACAAAAAATAATTTCAATTCGTTGATATTTCGAAATAATCCAAACTGGAATCTAAAATAAGATTTGAATGAGAAATTGCATCCATTCTTACCGACGGCGGTCTTTCCTTTATCTCTTAATCTCTCTTATCAGTCCCTTCGCATAATTCTTTTTTTCTTTTTTTTTTTTTTGTTTTTTTCTCTTTTTTTTTGTTTTGTTTTTATTTTTTGTTTTTTTTTCCAAATCTCTACGAAATATCTTTTTCGTTAAGACTGATTCGAACGGCTGAGGATGCAATTTAATGACAATAAGAAATTCGATGTTGACTTTTGAACGTCACGAAGACGACGTGCCGTTATTTCACAGCGTGCAACTGCTTTTGATAACTTGCATGTAGCAGAAATTGGTCGCTTTTTAAAGTTTACCGATCGATCGTTACGACGATCGACATTGATCGTCGATACGATTTCGGTGATTTTTCGATAAAAGAAATATAAAAAGGAAAAAAAAAAAAGAAAGAAGGAAAGGGAAATTTAAATGGAGGAATAAAAATTTAAATAGAGGAATTTGTGCGTTCGCTAGAATACAACCGAATTTAAAAGAGGAATTTTCCAATGTTTCCATTACAACATGTTTTACGAGGTATTTGAAAATCAGAAGAAAGAAAGAGAAAGAGAGAGAGAGAGAGAGAGAGAGAGAAAAAGAAAAAGAGAGAGAGAGAGAGAGAGAGAAAAAGAAAAAGAGAGAGAGAGAGAGAGAGAGAGAGAGAATATGTTAGAGTACAAACTCGTAGTTTCGTCGTTTCTATGTGATTTTACTTTTTTATTTTTTTCATTAGCAGAGAAGGAAAAAGAAAAAAAAGAAAAAAGAAATCTTGCCTCGAACTAAGACAGATAAATGAAAAAATTTTTGCGGGCTTACGAACTCTCTCGTAAACTTTCTCGGCAATGAGTATCTCTGGTTTATCATTATAAAGTCACAAAATAATCTATAATTATAATAATTATTATAATAATAAGAGAGAAAAGTTCGGTACGATTCATGGCGAATACACATGGTGTCTTTTGGAGAATTGAATTTTTTGGAAACGTGTTATCTCGTTGAGGAATTACAATTCAATTGAGAACTAACACATAAATTATATCGATAAAATCTTATTATAAATAACAACAAGCTCTATATAAAATTTCAAAATAATATAACGAGATGTATCGTTAAGAATCGAATGAAATCAAAAGATGAATGAAATTCATTCGACGAGAAGTACACGTGAATAATGGATGGATATTAGATCACGCGATATCGGGCAATAAAGAAATAACTAAAGAAAGAAAGAAAGAAAAAAGAAAGAAAGAAAGAAAGAAAGAAAGAAAGAAAGAAAAAATGAAAACAACGAAAGAATATGAAATAAAGAAATAAAGGAGGAAAGAAAAAACGAGAGAGTACACCAACGGTGTGCGTTTACCGTTGACGTGAAGGAGTGCAGAATGAGCGACGGTGGCCGCGCCATTGGTCACGCGACAGGTGTACGTGCCATTGTGCGCGGGTGCGATCGTGCTAATGCTCAGGGCGCTGATAAAAGCGTCATTTTGCCGGATGATTATCGCCTTTCTCGGGTCGTGGGCCGCGGCTGCTGCTGCTGCTGCTGCTGCTAAGGCGGCGGCGGCGGCGGCAGTACCTTTCTTGGAACCGGAGCCATTCTTAAGAGACTTGTTAGTTAACGAACCAATGCTGTCTCCGTTAGCACGGTTCGACGACGTCTCCCGTGACGTCGTTCTGATCGTCTCTATCGGGACGTTATCTTTCAGCCACGTGAATGTTAATGGGAGGTCACCAGTAGCGACAACGCACTGTATGCTAGTACGGTCGCCTACGTTTAAATCGCGAGCAAAACTGAAAGGCGTGATTTTAGGTGGCACTGAAAAGATAACAACAGAAAAACAAAAGGTATGGCATTCCGTTCCGAAGCAACACTTGTTTGTTTAGTCAGACGCTGCGAGAATAGATAGATAGAGATAGAGATAGATAGA